CGAGTCTTTGTGTCAATGACTGGATTGGCTTGAGGAAATAGAAAACATCGGCAGAGGGAAGCAAATGACAATATGTCGTTCAAAAAGACTTAAAGGGAACTACCTTAAGGAATCAGAGATGTCCAGATGATTTTGAAATAAATATCTACAACCATTACTAAAAGCAGTTAGACTTGAAGTCTAAGCTGTTGACTGCTAATGAATCTTTCCATGAGACAAGTTCAGTGTCTTGTCACTCAGGGTAAGTTCATGAGCAACATCACCCTTACCTGCTTGGATTTTGGGCTAGAATTATTGTGATTATTGTTAAAGTATTTTTGTCAGTTTGATTCATCAAAATCTGATTGTCACCCAAGCAACTGTGCTCAGGTCACTGCCATTAGTGACAGGAATACTGAAAGGTGGTAAAAGCTTGAGAATTCGATGAAAGCTGTTAGGATTTTTTAGATGTTTGGTTTTCTAATATTTTGTTGTTGAGGGGATGGAGTAAGAAGCTCACAGGCTATCACAAACACAGTTGGGGCCTAAATAAATTTCACCAGTCAGTAAGGTAAGTGAACACTGAGTACGTCAAACCACAGAGCAAGGGGGAGAGTTAGGGAAGAGAGCAATGTTTGATTCCTTAAAAATAATTAGAAAAAAACAATTCATTCAAATGAAAAGTTCAAGGATAGCCAAGTCCCAGTGGCAACAAATATAGGAAATTTGATGGAGAGTATCTGTGTATGGTCCTTCCATCAAGACTTGCCTTATTATGGTATATGTCTGGACAAAGTATATGTGTTGGGGGGGTTATAAAGGTATGTTTCTAGGAACAGAAATCAGTGAAATTGACTTCAGTGGTTCACAGAATTCACCTCTCCCTATTGAGGACATTTCTTCTGTGGCCATGGACCAGTAGTGGATATACAGAGAATATGGCAGAAGAGTATTTAGCATCCATTTCATCCCCTTCTGGTATGTTTGCTATGTTGCAGAGCCTGGAAAGCCCAAAGCTACATTTCCTAGACTCCCTTGCAGCTAGAGTTCTGTAGTGATTTAGGTCAGTCTTGCTGTGTATCAGATTTGGACAGTGGGAAGAAGGCAAGACTGCTACTGCTGCTGCTTGGTTTAGAAGCTTACTTGTTGAGGTCAGTAGAGGACCCAGATGTCAAGGTACAGCAGAGGGCATCCATTCTGCTAGTGTGGCTGGTAGAAGGGGAGCACAAATCAGGAACTGGCAGCTGTCATGGGGATTTCTGATTGTGGTGTGGTCACCTGATTGTGACAACATTCTGATCACTGTGGCATCCTCACTGTGGCAAAAGTGATGTTTGTGGAGCTGGTTTTGAGTAGTTTCATGTGTTGACAAGGGACCTCTTTGGACAAAAGACAACAGATTTCTCATGGCCTCATCCTTGGGGTGGCTCCACGCATGCCTGGCTTCTCCAACTTCCTGGGGTCTTCACTGCACTCTTGGCTTCGCTCTTACATCTTCTTACAGGGGCACATTGCCTTACCTCTCAGGCCTTCTACTGAAATCTGAACTGAAGCCTCCATGATCTAACTCTTGAATTCTGCATGCCTGAAATCCAGCACACTCAAGCAGTAATCAGGCCCCCTTGGATCATGGCTGTAGAAGCCTCTGAGTGCCTGGATAGGGGAGCACTGTGAAATGAATTCTGGGGAATCGATTTTCTAGGTGGCTCTTCTTGGGATGGGCACTGTGGGACTGTCTTCTCAAAGCAAAATCTTTCAAAGGACTTTCCCTTGAACCAGTGAAGAATGGCATTTTGCTAATTTCTGAGATGCACTGAAGGCATCTTTTCTATTGCCCTGATGCAAAGTATTTAGCTTCTTTTTGATGCTAATCTTTTCAGTAGTCACATTCTCCTTTGTCCCAACTTTGCAGGCACTTCCTTTCTGATGAAACTATAAACTTTTAAAGTCATTTAAGTTTGCCATGTGTTCTTTATTTTTACTATAGATCTCACAAGAGGTGGCAAGTAGTATCCATGCTACAGCCTAAACACTAAACTGGCTTGAAATCTATTCCACCAAATTAGTTCATCACCCTTAATTTCAGTCTGCCAAAGGCAAAATGTAGACATCTTCTGCCAAAGCGTAACACATATGGTTTTGAGTCTGACTGTCACTATACAGTCCTTGTCCCCAACCTATACTTCCTGAGCCTAGACTTTACTGCATTTCTTTTAGCGTTCTGATCTTCTGAGCTGCAACTAGAATTTCCTATCAAGCTTGGCTTACAGTTATTGCTTCTCTAGTTGGCACCTCCAAACCTTCCCAGACTCAAGAACCAGCTTCAAAGGCTTCTAAACTACATGTGTGTCAGATATAGTCATGGGAATGCCTCCACTTCTCTAATACCAAAATCTCTTAGTCACTTTCCCATCACTGGGTGAGAATACCTGACACATGTAACTTAAAGGAGAGGTTTATTTTGGCTCACAGTTATAGCCCATTGTCAGCTGGCTCTAAGGCACACCAGCATGGGAAAGAGGCCATGGAGGAAATCTACTCACAACATGGTGGTCAGGGAGCAGATAAGGGAGTCGGGAAGGAGATATACCCTTCTAGGTCATGCTCCTCCATAAAAGGCCTCTAACCAGGCCCTATCTCCTAACAGCACTGAGGTGCTGAATTCATTAGTGGACGAATCCACTAATAAGTATAGTGCCACCATGGTTCAATCACTTTCCAACAGGCTTACCTCTGAGTACATGAGTGTTCTGGGGGAACATTCTGGATCTAAACCATAACAGCACATCTAGTAACTACCTTAGAAAATGTAGAAAGAAAATGCCAGGAAAAACCTAGCAAAATTAATTTTAATGATATATTCTAATGCAACATATCCAATATACTATGTGAGCAATATTGAAATATTTTGGCTATTTCTTTCATACAAATCTTCAAATCAACCTGGACTGGCCATATTTCAGCAATTCCAAAGTCACATGTTGATGATAGCTGCATGGGCTTGTAGCTCTACAGTTTATACTTAGGAATGGAATTATAGGGTCATGGGTGTATCCACCTGCAACTTGATGTTATAAATGCGTACCTCACAGTGTATAAAGTCCCCTACCTAAAGTTCTTCCCATCACTATGTGATCTGCCTACTGATCAGTAACAGTCCACTGTGTATGAAATAGCACTTTATTGTATATTTCTTTTATAGTTTGCTTTCACATCTCTATGTCTACAATCATCTGGATTTCTTTTTCTATGAATTGCTTGTTCCTCTCCTTTGCTTTTCCACTGTGTTTATATTTCTTATTGATGGTCCAGATGCAGATATGGGATAGACATGTATTCTACAAATGTCACCATTTAGCTGATGATTTGTTTTTTCACATTTTCAGTAATTTTGTCACATGAAAGTTTTAAAGTTTAATGGAGTTAATTTATCAAAATTTGGCTTTATGAGTGTCTGTCTTGGTTACAAAATTATTCCTTGCTCCAACATCATACAGATAATTGTCTTTTTCTTTAAAAGTTTTATTAAAGTTTTTCTTTTCACATTCAATTCTTTACTCCAACTGGGTTTTCTCTTGTCTTAAAGTTGAAATTTAGTGTTTTTCTGTGGAGATCATCCACTAGCTTGGCACAAGGTGTGTAAGGTACTGCTTGAAATTTTGTTATCTTTTGTCACAGTACGAGGATCCTGAGGTCAGTGACTGTGTTAGTTAGATTCTCTTTGCAACCCTCATGGCCTGGTACATGGGATGTCAGCAAGGGCTTGCTAAGTGAGCACATGAGAAAGCTGTACTGAACTTCAGTGGGTGGGGCTGAGTGGGAGGTAGTTACTATTGAGTCCTTGACCTGTGAGTTCATTTCATCCTCATCTTTACCAAGTTCATGGATATTTGGTGACTTCAAGTTCTCAAACTGGAGAAAATATGTTCATTAAAAATCCAATTTATTTTTAAATTTGTTCAAAAGTATGTTTATACAATGAGCATTTAGAAAACCTTGCAAGTATCACTACTCTAAAATTAAATTCTAGTGGCCTAGTTAGAGTACACCTGCATGGAAGAGTAGTGTATTGTTAGGTGTATTGTTCTGCGAGGCCAGACCTTTCTTGTGGTTAACAACTGCCAGCCCCATTGGCTTGAACAGGAATCAGCAGGTGAAGCTGGTCCACCTGGGCCCATAGGGGCTCATGTGCCTGGAGACTTCACTTTGTCATACACTTCCACAACTGATGATCCGGGAAAAAGAGGACCGGAGAATCACACTTACAGTTTCTAAATTTCTGTTCACATTTCATTGGTCAAATCAACTCACACTTTTACACTTAATGTCAGTGCTTGCCAGGCACACTATCCTTTCCTTTTCTCCTTAGCACTTGTTGGTAAACTAGTATCAACACTGTCTTTCACTTGGCTGCCCATTGTGTGTGTGTGTGTGTGTGTGTGTGTGTGTGTGTGTGTAATTTAGCACTTTGAGCAACTTTTCTAAAATGATAATGTTAGACAAATAATTACTCTGTGACTCTCACATTTGAAGATCAGGTAATTGCTAAATGCTTTTCCAGTCCTAAAACAGAATGATTCCAAATCTTTCCATTATATGCTTTAGGCCATAACGCCTCTCTTCATTTTTCTGCAGAATGACTATGCCAGTCTGTGTTGTGACAGAATACCAGAGGTTGGGTACTTTACAAGAACAGAGACTTGGGGTGATAGCTCTGTAGACTGTAAGTCCAAGAGCACAGTGCCAGCATCTGGTGAGGGAATTCTTGCTGTAATGTTTCAAAGAGGGACAGGTGAGACAGACACATGGAGGGTGGGGGCTAGACTTTTCCTTTTCATGGCATTCATTCATAGCCTAACCTCCTAATACTGTTACAGCAGTAATGAAACATCAGTATGAACTTTGGAGGGAAATTCAAATAATGGCAATGACCATTACAGTTAAATCCTGTTTTGTTTTGTTTTAAAATATCGTGGATAGGGAAGAAGAACTAATTGAAAAAAAATCCTGGAATATAATGGTAAGGGTTTTAAAAAAGCAAGATATTTTATTAGAGCAAACAAGTAAACCAGAAAACATAAACCATGCAAAACGAAGTATTAGAGCAAAAGTTGCCCACAGGTGTTTTTAAGTCACCAGACCCCAATGTATTAATCACCAATTTCCTTTTCAAAAGTACTGATACATGATTCATATTATAACATACCTATAACTCACCTATTTAAAGCACATGATTATTGTTTTTAGTATACTCAGTTGTGCAATTGCCGCCATCATCAATTTTAGAACAAAACTGGCCATATCCACTAGTAGTGAGTCCTCTTCCCTCTCAACCCCAGGCCCAGACAACCACGGATGCACTGTCTCCATGGATTTTCCTATCCCAGCTATGCCATGCACATGAATTGTAAGTCATATGGTGTTTTGTGATTGACTTATTTCACTTAATAGTTTCCAGGTTTATCTGTACTGCAGCATGTATCAGTATTCCATTCTTTTATTGAGGAATGATATTCTTTTGTATGGTTATACCACATTTTGTTTATCCATTTACCATGTGATGGATATTTGAGTTGTTTCCACTTTTTAGTTAGTGAATAATACTTCCTGGAGTGGTTAGGTCAGGGGGTAACTCTATGTTTAACTTTTTGAGGATTGTTTCTCCAAGTTTCTGCACCATTTCACATATAAACAGCATTTCAGTTCATTTATAGGCTTTATTTCCAGCAGATGTTACCATTTGTTAGTTATAAAAATCATCAAAATCATCAGAGGATGCATCTTGGTTTCTAGGACGTAAAGCAGCTTCAATATCTGAGTTACTGTCATCAGACTCCCCCCAGAAGGCTGCAAGACAAAAGCAGACAGCTGCATTACATTTTCTGAACAGAAATGAGTTTATAGAACAGTACAGCAGGACTGGTTAACTGGAGCATGCGAGGCACCCGACCAGACAGACACACCCAGATGCAAGCCCGCATGCTCCCCTGTGTTCTGTGGGTCGGGGAATGTTCTCTTCCTTTCTCTATACCCAACTCTGCTACAGGACAGGGACAGACAAATGCCCCTGGCTGCTCTTCCACTCTGACCTCCTTCTGTTCTCTACTGGAGCAGAGGGCAAGGAAAAGACTATGCCAGTGCTGGTCATGAGCTGGGTGTGGAGGCCAGCAAGCCCTGCAAATCCACAGCTGAACATAACATTGCTCTGCACTGTGGCGCATGGCACCTGTACAGCACGGTCACTGAAGTCCCATCACTGAGGAGACCTCTGATCCCACCCTATGGCCAGCAGGGGTCCACCTGGGACCGAAGACACACTTCATAGTCCTCATGAGAGGACGTGACAACTAGTATCTGGCAAAAAAATTTTTTTATTCAAATGCAAAAAGGAGATTGGTATCCAGATATTTCTCTTACCATTTGACTTCAAATGGGTGACTGATTTCTTTTTGTCTTCATGCCTGTAAAAGAAAGAAAGAGTCTGAAATAAATGACAATCCAATAGTTTTACAAGGATATATTAGGGGAGAGGCACTGTTATTCACAAGAGGGCCAGAAACTTTCTCTTTAGTTTCAGATTTCAAAAGCACAAAAACAATGTCAAGACTCGTAGTGGTAACCTGGAGCAGGGAATTCGAAACGCTGGAACAAGGTGGGTGTGTTTCTGTGTCCTTGATTTTGGCAAGGAAGTTGAAATCCTCATCCTAGGTGAGCCTGTGACAGCAACGCCAGCATTTTAACAAAGGAGAAGGCAACAAACGTGGGAGAAAATGCAGCGTGTTGGATGCCTGTGCTTGGGGCTCAGGTGTGGACCGCACAGGACGCTGGTGCCTGTGGCTTGTCCGCCAAAGGCTGGCTCTGAGATGGGCTTCTCAGCATGCCTTCCAGGAGCTCTGCAATTCTAAGAACTTAGAAGTCCCTTCTGGGAGCAGCATTTATTTATTGTACTTCAATTCTCCAAGGCACACGTGGAGGAAGGATAAGGTCAAAGGGGATGTTAGGAAATGTTCACATTCACCAGGAGCTACCATGCCTCCTTCAGATGCAAGAACCCCTGGCCAAAGGGGCTGGCCTGTGCTTCGAGACCATCTTTTGTCAAAGCTGCCATCTTTTACTTTTTACCCTTGTGAGCAAGCTCCAGCACGGAATCATTTTCCAAGTCAGTATCCTGGAGTCCAGTGACCAAGGAGACCTGTGGCCACCTGCTGTGAAAAGCAGAGGTCCTTGTGACACCTGGCAGGACCCAGCAGCCAGCCACAGGCAAGGTGCTATGAAAGTGGGCACACCCAGAGTGAGCCCAAAGGAGTCATCTTAAACTAAGTGTGCGTGTGTGCATACACACACACACACACACACACACACAGGAACAAGGCACAGGGCTGTTGCTCTTTATTCCCTTCCTATCACCAGAAGACACCAGGCTGGGGTGGAGAGGGAGAGGTTGATTCTAAAGCCATTACAGGGTGAATCTGCCAGCTGTGATCAGGGAAGAAGAGCTGGGTGGGAGGACAAATCGCCTGTTGGCTAGTGGATGGAGAGCTTAGTGAAGGCTGTAGAGATGCCTTTAACCTCAGGCCGATGTATGTATGTATGTATGTATGTATGCATGTACTGGGAATTGAACTCAGGACATCACACTTGCCAGGCAGGCACTGTGCCACTGAGCCAAATCCCCGGCCCTACACCTCAGATTTTAGAGACAGAGAGGACATCATAGGCCAGGACAGAGGAACAAGGTGTGGCAGGATGTACAGCAGGAGCCTTGACATAGGAGCGAGGGCACAGCGACAAGCAGGCCCCAGACACATGGCCTGCATCCTTCCGACAGCTGCCCCTGGCTCCTCCACACACCTGTGGTTGGTACTTCCAGCCACTAACAGATTCACCATCCTGGCTGCGGCCCCCTCCCCACCAGGCCAGGCCTCTCCTCGCATCCCAGGGCCCAGGGTACCAAGCCTCCAGTCCCCATGCCTCTCTCACTCTTCTGCCTCCACCCATGCAGCCCAGTTCCCACCAGGCTGAGCTGCCTGCACTCCCTGAATCCCTCGCCATGTCCGCATGACCAACCAGGGTCTCCTGGCTGCATCTCTCCTAACCACTGACACCTTACCTGTCCTGTCCCTCTGTCACCTGTTTCCCACTTGAACTGGAGTGAGGTTTATGAAGCACAAATCTGATTGCTTCCTTGCGTAAGGCTTTCAATGTCTTCCCACTGCATGGGCACAGAGACTGAAACACTGCACAGGACCTCCAGCCAGATCCAGAACACGAGAAACTCCTTGTTCCATCCTGCACCCATCCAAGCTGCCACTGCTTCCTGCCTGCATGCCTCCCTGATAAGCTGCCCCTCCCCTCCACAGAGCAGGCCATGCTGGCTCCTACCCCAGGAGTGCTGCCGCCTGGTACCCACAAGGTGCTGGGGCGGGTGACAGACCTCGCCAAGCAGGGCACTGCCTAACTTAGGCCATGGTTAATGGTCACAGAGAGAAGACGTGGAGTACATATTTCTTAGGAGCATGTGACTTTGGAATTAGGTAGTTCAAGTTTCTTTGGCTTTCCTGCTGGCAAAAGAGAAGAAGGGAAAAAAAAAAAAGACCAGCTGGTCCCCCCAAGGAAAAGCCTTGCACAATGCTGAAACACTACTGTGGGAATTGCCCCTGCAGTGAGTGTCACAATCATTCAGCTGGGCAGAAGTGGGTGGCAAACTGGGTTCCACCTAGACAGGACGGGGCCAAGAGGTCCAGCAGGTACCCTCGGCTCTGCACAGGGCAGCGGGCAGGCCATGTCCCCTTGAGGCCACCTGAACCTGCTTTTGCTGGCTGTGCTGTAGTTACAGTGGTTTCAAGACTATGTAAGCCACAGGGAGCTAGTTGGCAACCCTGTGAAATATGAATTCACTGTGCAGGGACTCCTGTCTGTTTTACCAGTTTTCTCACAAGAAGCACTGCAGAGCTGCATGCATGTAGCTCACTGCTGAGGAAGGCGGAGGGTGCGCAGTCTCCCACTGCCCATACCTAAGGGCGCTATCTTCCTGAAGGGAGCTACTTCCAACAGTCAGGGTGGCACCGCCCTTGAAGGTGGACATTTTTTACACCTGGTTCTCAGGGCCAACATGTGCAGCATAGGCCAGGTGGGCAGGGATGGAGGGAGAAACTTCCCTCCAGTACTGCAGAGAACCAGCTTATTCAGCTCTATAGCTGCTGAGAGGAAACAAGTACACATTCCTGTCTGCTGGTCTCAGATGTGGAGGAGCAAGGTTCTAGCCTTGGGCTCAGGCACCACCTCACCAGCTGCAGGCCTCCTGCTGGACGGGTCACCAGCACAAAAGTGATGCTTCCATCATGCAGGGCAGAGGGTACGTCGGGAGCAGAGGCTGGGTACACTGGTCACTAAAATGTGAGGAAAGGCTCTGGCCACATGGCCATCACAACTGCTCCGTGCTGGCTCTGGTAAGAAATCAGCATGAGCAGAGTATGAACCAAAGGACATGCTCTATTCTGACGAAACCCCACTTGCAGACACTGAAATCGGAATCTCCTGTGCTCTCAGGCACCATGAAACATTCTTCCTCTTTGGACTGTTTCCTCCACCAAATAAAAGTGTGAACATCACTCTTAGCTCTAGGGCCATACCGGCCTGTGCTTGGGTTTGGCCCAGGGCTGTTGCTGAGCCTGCAGCAGAGAGAGGTTAGGGCCTGCCAGGGTCCTTTGTGGAACCGAGGGTAGAGTGTGTGGCATCTTTTCCCTAAGTTTACAATTAAGACTCAGGCCCTGGCTCAAAACAAAGCATTTTCAGGTAAGATGCCACAGGCGACCGAGTACCTTACAACATAACCAATCATTCCACTGGTTGAAATATAGTAAGATGATTATCTGCTGCATTTCCCAACGCCATCTTCACCCCAGCTGCACCTTGGGTACCACATGCCCTTCCAGGGTGCTCCACAATGAGCATTTCTCCACACTGGCTTTTTCTGGCATCCCCCTCTGTCTCTCCATCAAGCTATCCTATCTGCTGATGGGTCTTGGTAACTGCTCATGAGTTCTCCTGTGACTGATAAGCCAGGTTAGGCCAATTTTACTCACTGTCACTTTCGCCACGCTCACTTCTGGGGTACTTAAGAGGCTAAGGTTGGCCAGGACACTGCACTGGAGTCAGAGTGATGGGGTGCACCAGTGGTACAACAGAAAGTGGGTGTCACTGTTCCCCTCATCTGAGCAAAGAGCTGAAGTAACGGAAACCAGGCCACATGGCCAACAGAGACACAGAACTAGATGGCAAGGGTCACTGTGAGGGAGTGCGTAAGTTTGCTTTATAGAACCAGAATGGACCACTGACGCTGTCTTGCTGCCTGGACCTTGCAGGATCTCTCCTGGCCTCCTGAGGAGCAGTGAACCCTGAGGCAGGGAGAAGCCTGGCTCACAGCAATCAGGCCCTGCCCACCGTGTGGCCGGCCATGCGAGCTGCCTTCAGACACTGAGTTTGATGAGGGCTGGGCCAGGGTTGGCTTCTGGTACCAACTCTGCTCACTGTGTGGCCCTGGCAGGTCCCCTCCTCTCTGAGCTCAGTCCTCTGTGTGAAGAATGTGGAAGTGTCCTGCCAGGCTTGGTGTGAACACCGCTGAGAGCCGCGTGGCCCGGATGCGGTAAGATGTCAGGGCCAGTGTGGTGCAGGTGTGGGCTCTGACAGTGGAGACGAGTCCTCGGAGCTGGGGCCCAGGAAAACTGAGTAGCAGAGGAGCAGGCCGGCATGCGCGAGTCCCTCTGGTCTGAGCTCCCTTGCTCGCTGACTCACTCAGCCCGAGAAAGTGAAAATGTGCAGTGACAGGGACAAGGACACTGTAAGGCTCTGGGCCAGATAGCACACAAGCAAGACAGGCTCCATCTCTGCCTACAGGAGACAGGCACCAAGCAGTAAGTGACACAGGCTGTGCGGGTGGCGTGGGGCTAAGAGGACGCAGCGTTCTGGGGGTGGGTTCCAGGCACCCAGTGAGTCTGCCCTCTCCTCAAGGTCCTGCTGGGAGCCCGACAGCTCTTCTGGCAGCGGACAGGCCAGGACACACGATGGCCTGTGTACAGGTGCCCGGGCCTGGTCCTGGATGCCCATGTGAGAGGAGGGGACCTGGGAAACACACACACACACACACACACACACACACACACACACCAGGTAAGTGCAGAATGCCAAGGACGGGGTGCCATGCACACTCGAGGGCACTTGACCACTGAGTGTTTTTAAGAAAATCGCCCCCTCTCTTGGGAAGCACCCTGACCCCCAGTGCTGGATTAGGAAGAAACCATCCCAGGACAGGGCAGGGAAGGAAAGGCACCTGTACGTGGCTTCTGGCCATGGGCTAGGCAGTGACAAAAATGGCCAGGGAGCCATAGAGGAGCATCTGGCTGCAGCAGGGCATGCTGGGAGGGTACAGGGTGACACAGGAGTTGTGAGCCGCAGGGCCACCTGGAGACCTGTAGCAGCAGTCGTGAGGCTGGGATGTGGGCCTCGGCCTGCAGCGGGAGGAATCTGGGGACCCGCAGAGGAAAGACATGCTGACTTGAACCTCGGAAGCCATCCAAGAGAGAGAGTCCTGCAATGTGACTGAGACTCTGCCTCCCTTCGAGAGCCTGGTCTGGGCCTTGGGGTGGCCTTTTAGTTCCAGGCCTACTGTGAGGCTGGAAATGACCACCCTATGACAAGGTGTGGTCTCTGGGTTCCAGAGTTGAAACTTTTAATGATTTTTGACTGCTAGATAAAATCAGTATTGACATTTCTCATGTACTATCTTCAGCTGGAATTTTCCTCAAAACAGATATATATTTTGAAAAACAGGAGGCAAAAAATGATTCAGAATAAAAGAAAAAAAATCCCAGTAGCTACACCAGCAACTCTGTAAAGCCTAATTTGAAATTTCAGAGGCCCATAGGTGGTGGTAATTTGACAAAGTCGGAGCGCCCCCTGATGGTTAGTCGAGGGCCCTACAACAGATGCCGCTTTTAACTGTTAGCGGTCAATTTGTGAATAAATGATTTTCTTATGCACAAGTTCTCCGTGCAGAAAATAAAGATGTGGGTTTATGAAAGGGAATGAAGAACACTTGGGAAGCTGCTAATTGGGATTGAAGGAGAACACAGATTTTCTAAGCTGGCGATAGGGACGGACACTTTTATAAGAACACCTAAAGGAGTTCCAAGAAAAACTTGTCATGACTTCCCTGGACAACTGAGTCCTTGTGACCGTGATATTATCCCAGGGGAAACGGCACCGTGACAGGGCAAGGAGAGCCATGTCAGGCCCCACTCCAACATCAGCTGCGTGCTGGCGCCCTCCGCTGGCCGCTCCCGTGGCTGCAGGACTGGCAGGGGATGCCACCCACAGCGACCCTGGAGTGGGCGCCTGGGTGATTTGTTACCTTCCCACTAGCAATTATGTGGCAAGCACACACCCTTTTCTTTTAGCAAAAGCACTATCTCGATGCACCAGTAAGCTGAAGTTACGAGGCAGGAAGCAGCAGGCTGAAGTTAGTTCCACGGAAGGCTGTTAAGATACGCTCCCCATTGAATAGCCAGACTGGCAGAGGGGAGACCGCTTCCTGGGGAAGGTAAAGCGAGACAATGTCTGCGGAGGAGAGGAAGCTCTGGCATGCACCCCCGAACAAAAGAGAACAAGTGGTCTTTACTCAGAGAGCGGCTTCCTATTAGGGCTCACTCCTTCAAACATTATGCCTTTCATCCCCACTCAACCACAAAATGATTTTGCTGAAGCAAATACAATGGTAGAAAAAGATTTACACTGAAAGAATCTTTAATAATAAACTGTTGCTGATCTGCCTACTTGCCCGTGATTTATAATACAATAAACATCGGATTCTATTACGGCTCATGCTCTGAAGCCGCTGCTCTGAAAAACGGAGCACGAAAGCGGCCAGAGCCCACCACCATCACGATGAAATGAGCGTGGATAAATGTGCTAAGAGTATCTCTTTGCATCTTTTATAGCTGTGTGTATTAATCTGTAACGCTTATTAAGAAAGTCATTGCTATGCAAAGCAGCACCCAATCCTTTTCTCTGGCTTTTCAGCAGAGTGCACTGTTTAGCCAATAGGACGGGCCCTCTGGCCCTCATTCCGCATTCATCACAGCCAACATTTGCACAATGTATCTCTCAAAGGCTGCTGAAAAGAAGGCCTTAATACTCATGTAAACAACTGCAAACCAATTACTTAATGAATCAGGCCCACACATAATGAGGTGCAGACAAAGAGCTATAAATGCATTTTTGCGCCCAAGCCTCTGCTTTAAAGTAAAATCCCTCAGCTGTAGTTCGGGCTTAACTAGCACATCATAATTATTGTCTCTAGGACATCAGAGGAAGCCATTTTTTTTAAGGTCCAGCAGGGCCTTTTTTTTTTTTTTTTTTTTTTTTTCAGGTTGCTCATCAGCTCACTGACAAAACAGAGCAAAGAAGAATTTTTAAAAGTGCTACAGCAGCGCTGCACTGTTATGTTTATTCTCAAGTACTGGGTTTCGAGACCACTTGTAAAAGCAATAAAGCACAAGGAGTGAGTGCAGTAAGTGGGATCCTTAAATGTAAGCCTCGAAGAAATATCAGCGAGGACTCCAGGCTCAAAGCGGTCTCTCCAATGCCAGGGTGGGAACTCCCAGTACCAGACCCAGCCCAAGGCCCGAAGCACGGAATGCTCACCGGACCCATGTGTTTGATGCCCAGCCCTGTGTCACAGGGTTGTCAGCGAGTGTCCAGAAACAAGGTTCCTCGCAGATCTTTGTGTGCTTTTCTTCCCTTTAAAGCGGGTGATGAGATCCCTCGTCACTTGTTAGGAAATTAATTTCATGAAGAAACAATAATATTAACCAAAGGCCTCTGTCTTCATTTGGAGGAGAAAAATGTTCCAGTTTAGTTTGGTGACATACACAGAAGATGTGAAATTGTCAAGTTGAGAAAATGTTCTACAAAGTCCACCTGTTTCTGAATGTATTTAAAAATTGCCTAATGGACATTTATAAAGAAACATTTAAGGAGAATTTGTCTTCTTAATGCCTCTGAAATACAACTGAAACACTTCTAACCATTAAAAAGTAAAGGGGTATATGATTAAGCCAAATGGTAACTTTAAGACCTAAAAACTATCTACAGAATTTATTCTTTACAATTCATATAAAAGATGTAGGGCTCAAATTTATAGTACCATATAACAATGTACCATCATAACAATCTAATACTTCAACACTCTTCCTTACCAGTTATCTGACATTCCCTTCCATAATATGGATGAAAACCTAGGCACTAAAAATAATAATTTCTCATAATTAAATGATCATTTTGGATGCTTGTCAAGTTTTTAAAAGAATTTTAGAAAACTAACTTCATTTTAATATACTCCAGGTACTAAAATGCTGTAATATTCTTATAAAATATAAATGAAAGTAGAATTTTTTCATTTTCATTTCAATATGGTATTTGTGGGGCATATCATTTTAGGTAATAGGACAGCAGATATAACATTAGAAATGTAAAGTTCCTGTTTAAAAATTTTATCAGGGTCAAGTAGACATTACATTCAAATGTAATGCAGTCATGAAAAGGACACTTTTTAAAACAGTGCTATTAAAAAGGAAACTTGCTGTGCTGTTTGAAATGATATTCAGCCTGAAGTAAGAGGGTAGGTGTTCTGTCAGATGATCACTTATACCTGCTGCATGATTAGTATTTTACGTTGATGACAAATTCTGCACATAATTCATTGCTCAAAAAATCTTACGAGAAGTGCTACAGTTTAACAAATATAAAAAGATAAATTTTGTATTTTCAAGAAAAAGTAAAGTTATCAGAGATGGAAAGAGTAATGTAGCCTAAATACTTGGTAAAAAAGAATATAAAAACTAATATCTAGAGCCAGCTCAGAAAGGAAAAACAGGTCACATTTCTTTCTTTCAAGGCCTGATGTTTTCTCTCTGCCCTTTTCCTGACAGCCCCCATTGTGTGGTCTCTAAGCAGCCCTACTGCAAGCAGCTGGAGGCGCTAATTTGTGGTTCACCGAGGTGTCAATTGAGTCTTAAAGCAAGGAAACAACAGCTGCAAAACAATACTTGGCTGTGGGGCAAATATTTTTAAAGGTAGACTGAAGTTTTGACTGTGATTTTAGATAAACAAAAACGCAAACCATAACTCTCCATCAAGTCACACGACAAAATAATATGCAGCCGGAGCTGAATTCATTGTGGAGTGACACTTCGCATCTTGTGCCGCTATTCAGAAAGGCTCTCACCATTTACCTTGACAAAGGACTTCCTTTGCACGATGAGAAAGTAGCTTCTGAAGCAACTTCGTGAGCTGCCTTCATCTGGAGTGCACTGCTGCCCGTGTTCAGACCTGTGACGGCATGGAAGAAGAGGGAGAGCGTCAGGGGCCTGCACGGAGAGAGACAGGAATGGAGAGGCCTCTGGGAACTCTGGAAAAACCGATGCCACCACAGGAAGACCAGTGTGGGGAAGGAAATGGAGATGGGGGTTTTCCCCTGTGATGCCTAAAAAATACAAACACCTCAAAGAGCTCTACTCTAACTGGGCAGGGTGCATGTATACGCACATCAGCCTCTCTGATGACACATGTACTGGACAAGACACACTGTATGGGACGCCGGCAGTGATGGCTCACACAGAATAGGCGCTGGCAACCAGTTCTCAGGAATAACCATCACCCTGGATCATAGCACCCACCCCACCCGCTCTCCAGCCCCTCTGCCAAACCCCCACCGAGGGCAGCGATTCTTCACTGAAAAGGGCAGAAGGGCTAAAAGAGGAGGCATGCTGCCCCTTCCCTGGGCTGGGGGAATTGGCTGTCCCAACACTCCCAGCCTGCCGGGGTCCCCTGATCGGGGGCTCTTGGGTTCCCTGGTGGTGGGGTTTCCCAGGCGGCTTCTGCTTCTCTCTGTAGCTCTCACATGTCCCCGGGGAGAGGGAAAGTGCAGCGGAGAGGTGGTTAGAGGTGCTAACTACAGCGACAGCCATACTAGCAGGAGCATTTGCATCCTTTTATTTTGGGAAAATGCTCAGCTTGAAAAGCAGAGATGGTAATTCTGAGTATGGACTGAGGGAGTTAAACCTAGGGGTGACTATATAATTCTGACTATATAATTTAGACAGTGTCATTTCACCTGTGAATGAATTAACACGTGTTATCGGTATGCTTAACAATGCCATAATTTTTGATGCACATCCAAGGGGCTACAGTTTAAACCAGAGTTACTCACCTTACCTGTCCAGTTAGGTACCAAATGCACTTAGCAAAAGCCTTCGTGGCGCTGATGTCCCATGATGTGTATCTGTTTGTACCTGCACAGTGCTGAGTAAGGTCTTAGTCTTGGGACCATGTGTGTAAATGTGGGCGGGTAAATACCTTTTAAGGTGTCTGCGGATTCTAATTTGGTGGCTCTCATGTGAAGAAGGTGATGACAGCAAGCAGCTAAGAGTCAGCCAGTGTTCATCTCACCAAAGTTTCGAGGACCTCCTGCAGAACACAGGCCTGCTTTCTACTCAACAGCTCAGCAAATCCTACTCTGTGGAGCGCACATCACCACCCCCAGGGCTGGCTCTCATCAGGCCTCTCAACCCAGGCGCTGCGCTGGGCCTTTAGCCTGCAGTGCCTGCTAAAAACTCAGAACCACCAGTGAAGCTGGGCTTTTCCACAACCAGTCTACCACTAATACTGCCCAAGCATTCCCCTCCAGAGACAGGTGATTCTGACGCACCCTAAGTCTATCCCTTAAACACATCTGTCTGAAGGAGACATCAAATGTGAACCAGGAATTACATGACATTAAGAGAGCACTTTCCATGCTTAAGGGGAAAACCGTGGCACCATGACATTAATTAAGCCATTCATGCATATTTCCCTCTGTATTAATCCACATACTTTTATGAAGGGGGTGAGGTGACTAATATTTTAAAAAGAAGGTACAGTATAATAAAAGAAAAATGACTGCAAATAATAAAGGTATAATAAGAAAGTACAAGAAAACAAAATTATAATTCAAACATACTCTAGATTAATGGAACTACATTTAAGCCTAAAATTTAGCTCTCCTAAGATCTGTGGTCCTCCCAGGAAAAGCAGTGCAGCCCTCCCAACACTGCAGGAGGGCCAGCCAGCATCACTCTGCCCTCTGACGACTGAGCAGCTGGGAGCCAGGGAAGGGGAAGAACTGGGACCACTCCTGCAGTAGCTGAGGACAAGTGACTACTGAGACAGGACAGGCCGTGCTCAGACTGTGGTGGCGTGGGGCCAGCACAAGCCCCATAGAGGGCTCTTCCAGAGGTCGTGTGCTGAGAAGGGACAGTTTTCGTGCACCCACTTGGGCCCAGTGACAGCTTTGTACACTGCAAACTCCCCAAGCCCTCAGAGTGTCCACCCTCCCCAGCCTGACACAGCCTTGAGTGCCAAATCCCCCGTCCTTACCTGAAAACTGTGCTACCGAGGCATGCGCCCCTCGGCGTCCGTCTTCCATCTGATCTGTATGTTCCTGCAGGGTGGACTTCTTCAGCAACTGGTAGGCTTTTGTTTCTACAGATTAAGGAAAGCACAGAATACTGAACTTCCTGCTGCTCAGAGAGGTTTCATAAATTCTTCCTATTAGGTTAACACTTTTCAAATGCATGCAAATTATTTTTTTTAATTTTTCAGAGATTCTGCAAACAAACAAAACACAATTTAGTTGAACTCAGGCTTCGAGACCCAAAGAAGAGTTGAGTTGTAGTTCATCTGCAGCAGGAAATTGATTTCCTGGGGCAGAGGCGTCATGAAGCTCAGTTTCTTTCCCTTCCAGGCTCGCAGGAGCAGCGGCAGTGAAGCTAGTGCCAACACCCTAGGTGGTCAGTGCCAGGGATGGCCCTGAACTCTCAGGCTCTCCCATGGGGGACAGGGTCCTGGAGAGGCTGCTAAGTGGTGAGTGTCAGAGCCGGTGACGGAAGATGAGCACAGGGTCCCAACCTAGGAATGGAACCCACAGGGAGGAGAGGGATGTGTGCAGGGGGCAGAGCCCACCCAGCCTGGTCTGGTGCAGCAGGCACTTAGCACCTTGGGAAGGCTGTAGGGAAGACAGCAGACAAACACTACACAAGGGCCCAAGCCACACAGGCAGCCTGGTCCCCCAGGTCTCAAGGACATGTCAATGAAACAGAGGATGAGGAATCTGTTCAAGCAAAGACAAAACAGAACAGCATCGATGTCCACATCTTTAATGTGGCCCCAAAAGGATTCTTGCTGTGGACATCGGCTACTGGTTGGGTTCCTGCTTTTTCTGGCTCAGTTTAAGACCCTAACTGCGAGTCTCTTATTACTGGATTAAAACTACTATTAGGCTGAAGAAGAAAGCATAACTCATCTTCCTCTACTGAAAATTAGTCAGGTCAAAATGAGTATTTGAAATGAAAATTGTACATAGGAATATTAAATGCTGTATGATTAAAATACACCTGGATCAGGAACTCTTAACTCTGAAGACAGGAAGTTCCAAAGCAGCACTTTTTAACATCACTGATCTGTGAAATCAGTTTGGTGTGATGAAACTAGTATTTTTTAAAATTTAACAAAGAAAATACCAAATGTAGTACATGCAGAAGGACAAGGACTGGTCTAACATGCGTATGTGTGCCATGTATATAACATGTGCACATGTGTAACGTGTCTGTGGCATGTCTGTGCATGTGCATGTCTGTACCATGTGTATAATATGTACACACACACACACACGTGCGTGTGTCTGTGCCAAGTGAGAAAGTGCTTTCTCCAGGCTGGTGTGGTGATATCATTACCAACCCTCCTGGCAGGATCACGTGACTTGCTGAAAGGTGACCTGGGCAGAGGAGACAGCAGTGAACTTGGGGTGTCTGAACCCCTAAAGGTAAAGAACCATTAGACATGACAATGACTTTGTTTCATAAGTATCAACCACAAGGTTTTTCAGCTTTTAGGATAATGACCACATGTCATTTCTAGATTCAATTAAACTTACTCGGTCAAGGGAAAGATAGCAAAGATAGAAGCAAAATAAGAATAAAAACAGAGCAGCTACTGGTCAACAGGAAGGAAGGAGAAACATCAAGCCAGTGCCCAAGGTGATTTCAGTCAGGGCGTGAGACAGGGCTGACACTGCGATGGTTTCAATCTAGCAAGGGAGCAAATCACCAACATTCAGGGAACTGAGTAACACTCTGTGTTCCCTGTCCCGGTCTCCTTCCCATCCTCCTGCATGGCCAGGGCCAGTCACTGGCTTTCCTGTCATGGCTGAGTGTGCTGCTGCTGACCAGCAGGCTTGGTGGGCAGTGGGGAGACAGCTCACTTTCGGGCCTTTCCACCCCTGCCTCACAGTGACGTGGCCTCACGGGCCTGCTACGGCCACTGAAGGCCACCTGGAGTAAAGCAATTTCCATGTGGGATGCAGCTGTTCTGCTCGGAGTCAGGGCTGGCAACATGAGGCTAAGGACTGGTGGGCATAGCACCACCAGGAGCCCCAGCACAGGCAGCCTCCAGACAGAGGCAAGTGTAAAAAGTTCGAGGATAAAGTGTCAACCCTTGCAGAAATCAACAGTAACTGAGGCACACCACAGACATGTAACCATGGCAGATGCACCAGGACTGGAATCATCCTCTCCAGTGTGGGTCACACCTGAAGTCAGAACCGTTGCTCTGGGAGACCATCAACATAGAGAAAGCAAGATGAATGGGGCTTGATTTAAAAAATAAGGTGCAGTTAAAGGCGACACAGGTTGACACATGGAGGATAGTTCAAGGACACAGTTCTGATAACCAGCCACAAGCGCTCGGTGGGGCTGTGAGTGATGGCACCGCACAGAGGTGACTCTGGCTAGGTGCAGCTGGAGTGCACACCCCATCCACTAGGGACAGCTGCCCCCTGTCCACAGCCATGGCTGCCAGGTGGGAAAGTGAGCCTGGTCTCATGAGACTCTGGTCTTTTCTTTGTTTTAAAAATACCAAGCCACTACAGGATCTAAACAGAACACATTTACAACCTGGAAACCAGATATCAGCAAGCAATATTTATGTTTACTAAAAGTGGCACAGGAATATGTAGGGGACTCTACAGCAAAAGGAGCCAAGCTGGACACTGGGTTCTCGATGAAAGACCTGTGACCTGGACCCACATAAAGGGAGGCTGCAGAGCTGGCTGAGATTAGCTGTCTGTAGCAAAGGACCAGGTTTCCCACTCTTTGGTGGCAAGAATATACTTCTTGCTAGGGGCTCTCAAACAATTCAGACACTCTCCTGCAATAGCCTGGGAGGCTTAGCCAGGATGCCAACTTCATGGTGTAACACAAGAAAGGCAATGGACACAAGTTTCAGGGCAACTCAGGCCCAGGCTTTTCTGGAAGAAAAAGAACAAATCAAGCAGTTCTAAGCTGCTCTAGAGTGGTGCACGCCTGTAATCCCAGCACATGGGAGGCTAAGGCAGAAGGATCATAAGTTTGAAGCCAACCTGGGCTACACACAAAAGAAAAGAAAAGAAAAGAAAAGAAACAAAATGAAATGAAAAAGAAAAGAAAAAAAAGAAAACGAAAAGCTATCCTGTGTTGCCTTACACACAATCACAGTTATTAAATTTATGAACAAGGAACAAAAGTTACAAATCACACAGTTCAAGTTAGCCTGCTATGAATGACAAAGGGACATGGTTTATATATTTCCAAAGGGAAAAGAATTCAGTCTTCTCAGCCACAATTTGAAAATTTGAGGACAGGGTGGCCATTATTCGCCTTCCAGCCTGTGACTCAGAACTCCAGAGAAACACTTCCTCCCATTAGCAATGTTAACTCTCAGAAAATTACTGAATGTGCAAATGATTACTTTAAACAAACGTTTCTAAAGCATTCACTTCTGTTCAACTGGAACAGTCTCTCAGACACAGAAACAACACACTCACGATCACAGCTATAGCTTTCAGTTCTAAATCTCCATCAAGCATCTCTGCTATTCAAATCTGTGTCAGGGTTTAGTTTAAAAGTAACAAATATTACAGTTGAAAACATGAAACAAAGCAGGGACCCCACCTTGTGCAGTGTCCAGCTCCAGGAGATTAAAATCTACCCTGTAAGTCCACACGAATGACACTACCAGTAAACCTACTTCCCCTATGGGTACATGCGCTGCTGGGCCCCACCATCCTGCAGTGTGCGGAAGATCACTAAGGCTCTTGCTTTCTTTTTGATACGCACTTTGTATCTAAAAATTAGAAATGGCTAGAAAAAGAGTGAAAACACACTAAACACAGGGAGGTAGGAGAGAGATGATGTTAAAAAGAGGAGAAAGAAAAAGCCTCAACTTCTTATCTTTTATTCTCTTTTATATGCAAATGTACACCTGCTAAAATACTTCTAAATCTACAAATAAAAAGAAAAAGAAAATATCTGATGAACAAGGCTTTTAACAACCCATTACAAGAGCCAGATAAATGCGGGCTCACCAGCCTCTAAGGGGTGTCTGAGGCAGAGGATCTGCCCATTGCTTTTGTAGAAATCCTTCATGAAAAAGAAGACTTGGGCTGGAGAGGGAGGGACAAAGGGAGACAAACAATGCCATCACTGGAGCTGGGAAAATGACCTTGAACCCACGAAGAAAGAAAGTGCCTGCTCCTGTGCGAAGTGGGTAGAAATTTTAAAATTTAATTTGAGGAATACTTTCTGTTCAGAGTCTCCTAGTGCTATTGCTTTCCACATCTCTACACGTTAAAAACGTATTTTTTTAATATTCCACTAGTGTGTTGATGATGTGGCAAACCCAGTTAGTTGCTTTTGCAAAATGAAATAAAAATAAAGATATATTTTGTAAAAATTAATTCCAAAGACAACTATTATCACTGGAAATCCAGAAAATATTTATCTCAGTAACGTGCATAAATGAAAATAAGAAAATGTTAGGGTATAGGTGCTTTTGAAATTCTGAAAAGACACAGAAAATTCATCTATTTTTAAAACTTTCTTTTTATAGGTCGTAAGTCTACGTGAATGTGAGACACATGTTTTATCCATAATGAGGATTACTTTTCACCTCCAGATTTGCTGTATAAACTCAACTCTACCAGTAGCCCTGGGCTGGCAGCTCTTGCCAGTTTTCTTTCCTTGGCCTCGTCCAGACACCTGGCGACTGGGAAGTGAGCTCCTAGCTCACAGAACTGCTCAGGCTGCGTCACAAATAGAGATTTGCAGGCTTGTGTTATAATCGCAGCAATGAAACAACTAAACCCCAAAACAAGTGCAGGCTTGCACCTAAACTAAAACACTCCCGAGCTGAAGTGCAAGTCTAGGGGACCATACTTGGCCCTTCGTGAAGGTCTGGGGGACCACACTTGGCCCTCTGTGTCCCCAGGTTCTGCATCCACAGATCCAACCAAACTCCACTGAAAGTATTAAGGAAAAATTAATCTGTATACTAAATATGTTCAGACATTTTTCCTTGTCACTGCCAAAACAATACAACATTAGCAACTAGTTATGTAATGTTTACACTGCATTAGGTATCACAAGTAATCTAGAGATGATTTCAAAGCTTACAGAGGATGTGTTCTGGATTCGAAGCAAATACCAAGATATTTCATATAAGAGACTTCAGTATGTGGGTTCTGTGTCCACAGGGATCCTGGGGTCAGTCCTCTGGGTGTACCAAGGAACCACTGCACCTCTGACAAACACCATGTGCTGTTTAATAACCGGAGGTGTATTTTCAATTCTCAGACTAACAGGACCCTTCACTGCTGACGTAATCCCCTTATTTTATAGTGAACAGTTCCCACACTCCTCCAAGCTGGGGACTGAACCTGGGGCCTGTACACGCGAAGTGCATATTCTATCTTGGAGCTACACTCTTCAGCTTTAAATCATTTTCTTTTCTTTTCTTTTCTTTTCTTTTGGAGACAGTATCATTATATAGCTCAGGCTACTCTTGAATACCTAGGCTCAAACCTTCCTCTTGCCTCAACCTCCTAAGTAGCAGGGACAATAAGCATGTCACTGCACCTGGCTACATATCTGACACCTTGTTAAGGCATCCTAGAAAAAGGACTCTAATTCTATCAGAACAGCTAAACATCTCCTCTCATAATTTGCTCCTCCTGCTCTGTGGTTCTCAAGCCTGGGAATTCATCTGGATGTGTTACAAGAGGCCTATGCCTGGGTCCCCACCCAGGGGTGCTGATGGTCAAGGATGTGGCAGTGTCATGGGGATTCCACCTATGACTCTACTGTGCAGCCATTATGGAGGCTTGGGAGACTCTCTTGGCACCAGAGGTTCAGATCCTTGGATGCAGAACCATCTAGTCAGCAGCTCTCCTCATAAAGGTGCCCTTAACTCTTTAATCCCACACTAAGTAACACCCTGACTTGGCCCCCACACACAGTGTAACAGGGAGTGCGTGCTATTACTAGCAGTAGGTCACAGGCACCATGGCCAACCCCTGCCCTGGAAACCAGGCCATGAGGTCTTGGATGGACAACCGAACAGCACACATTGGCTCCTGGTTTCACACAAGTGTGGGGTTCCCTGTGTCACCACTGAGTCATCAGTAAGCACTCCAGGGACAGGACAGGTGAAGCATACTGTTAGCAGTCTTGGTATTGGAGGTGATGCACTGCTCTTCTTCAGTCCTCACTGCAGTTTTCTCTCCCAGGATAAACCCAGTCACTAATGATGATCCTTTTCCAATGGTGTAAAACTCAACCACTAGTCCTGGGAGGCAGTGTCTATGAACCCTCGAAGCAGCACCCTGCAAATGCAGGCTGACCCTCAGACTGTGCATGACTCGCAGTGCTTCAGCTTCCAGACTGTCTGTGAGGAATGAATGCCTAGTGCGCAAGCACTTTCAACACAGCTTGACCAGGAGGATTGGTGTCAGAGAGCGAAAGCTGAATGGACATTCTTAGAGGCTTAATCCTCTTGAGATAAAAGCCGAGGGTCCTTTTCACATGGGGCTAAGGAGATGAGTTTTGCCAGGATGGGCACGTGGGGTGGGAGAGTGCTGGTGGTGGTGGGGGGTGCACTCTGGGGCTGGGGGTTTCCTGAGAGTAGTGACCAGGTCTCTTCTGACCCTGGTACCCCAGAATGCAGCCCAAGAAAAGGGGTGATGTCAGGTGAATGATATGTCAAGTTATTAAACACAAGACTACAGATTCACAGACATCAGAGTTGATCTTGATTTCTAGCTGGACACCTTAGTGAGAACAGCCAGACAAAAGCAGTAGATGATGGTAATGAAGCCGGCCCTGAGGTACAAGTGTAGGAGCACACACGCTGGCTGCAGGCGTGGATGTGTGACAGGAGCCAGTGCTTTGTGAATCTTAGCCCAGCATGCTTATAGATGCCTTAGAAGCAGGCACTTTAAGAGTGAGCCCCCCTCCCCAAAAGACCACAATTTTGGGGTGATAAGCACGTAAGAAGGGGAAATACAGATACAAGAACACTGGCACATGTGATTCCCTCAGCACAAAATGAGATCGCGGCCTCGGCAACAGAAGGAACCCTGGAGGACCCAGAAACAAGAATGCTCCCCAGCCCTTTTTAGAGGGTTTCCCACACCCAGCACAAACGCTCATAGCTGGAGACACTGTGCCTCGTTCTGGTGCAATGAGGAGTCCACAGCTCTTTTGTTTCTGACCTCATGCTGTAATTATGCTTGGCAGATGCTCTGCCAAGTGTGTGGCACCTCTCAGATATGCTGTATGCTGCAGGGGGTCAGCAAGATCACCCAGGGCTAGCATAAACCGTGTATTCATTCAACTATTTCCTGGGTGGAGCACCACACAGTACACATTCTGGGAAATGCTGCACTGCCCAGCGGCACTGAAGAGGCAGCACCTGAGGGAGGCCTGCTGCTGGGTGGCCTGCAACATTCCCAGCTGGGAGCACATACCGGTTGCTGAGGGCATAAGGCCTCCCAGGCAGAGATGGCCAGCCTTGCCCAATGGGATTCCAGAGCTGCTCCTTTAGCTTTCTAGGACTCCTCTAGTGTTTCCTCACAAGATTAATTAGAAGTTCCAAACATGTCCTGAAACTTCTTCAAGACTGGTAGGTACACCTCCTTCTGGACTCAAACCATCAATTATGTGCTCACATGGAAAATGCTGACAGGAACTAAGCGGCACCACTGGGAAGCGCATACGCCTGGCCCTGGTTCGTGTGGCTCCCTCTCTCAGCCGCAGCACCACACTGGGAGCCTGGACTCCTTCAACTGCATCTCCATCCCCTGCTTCTCTTCTTTGAGTTTGTTTCATGAAGTTCCTTTCACCAAGATGTCCCACTGTGGAGACGGTAATGACTTGGGAACCAGCACAGAAGACCAAACATGCCTCCAACATGCACAGGAGTGGTATTACACATCACAGATGGCAGGTACCGATGCCATGTACTAAGTGTCTAGTGTCACAGATGGCATGTATCGAGTGTCTAGTATCTGCTCGGCACTTGCACACACGATCCTGATAGGCAGAACACTTGCTTTCCTTGTACAGAGGACCATGGTCTGAAGGAACAGATAGGAGGGGACAGTGCTGGCAGATGCCAAATCCAAGCTCAACTGCTGTATCTCCTGAATCCCAGGGGACAGGCTCTGCCATATTCCTTTTCTTTGGAATATTCTAGAAGGAATACAGCTCATGAAAGTACAACAAACATGCAGCTACAAAAACAGGAAATCCAAGAGAACTATTAGGAGGGGATAAGCAGATTATATCTTAAATTGACCTCTACAATTGTCCTACTCTACCAAAAGCCCATCTCTTCTCCAAATAACTATGCCAGATACAAAAATTTAGTAAGGGGATGATGGTCAAGAACTGAGAGACCAAAGCAGCTGCAATGGCTGACACAGCAGCAGCACTATGGCGAGCTGAGCAGCACTGCAGGGGGCCCTCAAATATCAGCTTGGTGGGACTCTGAGGAGTGGCACAGAAGGACAAACCGGGCTGCAAGGACAGAGCACCAAGGCTCCAGCAAGTTCACTAAATTTCTTACTTTGCCATATAACAGGACAAAGTTAAACTTCTAGCTACTGATGGGTTTATGACAGGTTTCTGGGATTATGAATCCTTTTTAAAATCATAATGGTAGTGCTTGGGAGGCTGAGGCAGGAGGATCACTGAGTTCGAGATCAGCCTGAACTGCATAGTGAAACCCTGTCTCAAAAAGACACAGACACACACATGGATACACAAATCTTAATGATGAGTAGCCCCAATTACTACCCCTAGGCACATAGTACTTCTTCGGCAAGGAGAAAAGAAAGTAAATGACATATGTATTAATTTTGGAAAGTGTCACCTGTATTCACAGCAAGGGAGACCAGAAAAGAATGGGCACTGGGTCATTTCCTGGTTTCTCTTCAGTAAGAATTTATAATCTTAACTGGAATAAATGCAGAGGCCACTGGATACTTCTGCATTCAAAGGTAAATGCAAGAAGGCATGTGAGTGACTTCCTGGTTATCTGCAGTTGGAGACTGTCTACATTTCTGCTATTAATCAAAATAATCAACAGGCCCCCAGAGAGTTTTCTCAAAATGAAGAATAAAAAACACAATGAATATTGCTGCAGGAAAATGTTTAAAAGAAAAGAAAATCTCTAAATTTTGGAGTGATATATTATCTGACACATAAAATATATAATCATTGCCCCACTATAAACTCTTTTTTCAAAATCAGAGTTCATTAGAGAAACATGAGTTGAAAGAATGAATTGTCATGCCATGTATTGCACAAAGTAAGCCGCTCCTTTCTGCTCAAGAACAAGAACAACACAGCACATATGCAGATGCATGCCTTGGCTCCTCAGGGCGAGGGCGGAGTCGCTTGTATAAATATTTAAAGTCAGACCTTTGCATTTATAATGAAGCCAGGCACCACTTTACAAAACAAGGTACTAGTAAATTTAGATGTACAAAAAACAGGGCTCTGTTCAGAATACTAATTGCTGCTGTTGATATTCTAAACCTAAAAATTATAATGGTATCATTCAGATTCCATCTAAACACACCTAACACATGTTCTGAAATCTTAACAGGTCTTGCTACAAAGCCTGACTGCTGAAATTTTTAAATTACCAGATGAGCTTTATAAGGGAGGCACAGGCAAGCTTCCTGTCTGGCTTTTTTCCTGCTCTTGTTTTAATGATGTACCTTCAACTACTACAGCAAAGAAAGGAGTAAAGCCAGAAGCATCTTCAGCCTGCAGGCTAATGACTGGGTATCCTGGGAGCTGGCCAGGGGGTGTTCAACAGCAGGCTGCAGACGTGGATGCATAAGAGCCTCAGAAGGAGCTCCCTGGATGCGGTCATCTGCCACCTTATTCATGGGATGCACTGTGTTCTTCTGCCTGCCCTCTGCTCCAGTGAGAGGCAGTGGAATATGCTTAATCTCTGAGGGCCATAAGCTGCTCACCTGGAAGGTCCGGATTATATAAGACTGAACCTGGGCTGGGAGCTGTTGAGGTGGCTGACACCTTACCTGTAACTGGCACCTTTGCACACATGCTTTCTTGTTCACTCTCATCTTCTTCTAAAAACCAAACACATTATAACAAAAACATATTTCAAAGTTATGAAACAGATCGTTGTTATTGTAAATACAGGTGAGGCAAGTGAGCCTCAAATGCTGGGCGCATCAACCAACTAACTTCTCAGTACTTTCTGTGAGCACCTCACAGCTGTCCTGGAAGTTACAGGGCAGCGACCATCCTGTGAGAAATGCACATGAGACTGGCATGTGTAGCAGTAAGGTTAAAACACAATTTCTGGGTACTAATATTGACTGTTGAATTTTGTGGCATACACTCATTATTTAGACTTTGATAAGGTTCTATTAAAATTAAAAAGCATATACAAAATTAAGGGTAAATTCTATTAAGTAATTTCAAAAACCTCACAGTACATTATGGAATCATTTTAATTGATGTATCTCTGAACTGTGGGCTCAAAATGATCTCCTGCCAAGTGATTAAGTTTAACTTTCACAACTGAAACACCTATTTCATTAGAAACTGACAAGAAGTACAGACCTACTGTTAGGCTTCTCATTCCTGTTAGACTGAACAAGAACACACTATGTATTTATCGGGAGGTGGTATAAAACAGGTAACACATGTGCATTAAAACCAACGATGTCCTGCAGCCAGCGGTATTTAGAAATGCACCATGACACAGGATATCACAATGACTCTGGAAGCCCCCTCACGGTGGACAGACTCTGTAGTTACCTTGGTCCCTCATGCGAAGGCTGCTGAGCCGGAACGCAGGTTTTGCTTCCTTTATCCCCGTACCCTCCTGCAGAATAGACGGCATGCTGCACGATGATTCATCACTGTGGATGGCTGACCTGGCCTCACACTCTGCTGGGAGACCTTTGCTCAATGCTGCTGCTGTCTACAGTGTTTAAAAGGAAATACAAAGAAACCAAAACAAAGAAACCAAATCATAAGCACGTTCTCCATGGTCTCAAAGATCCAGACTTCAAATATAATTTTAGGTTAAGCTTTACTTAAGATTTAGTTTGCTTCCTAACATTAACTGAAATAAAAATGTCCTCAAGATAAAATACCATCTGGCTATGGCCTAGCATATTTTAATTCTTTATAACACTTTAAACTCATAAAAACATATTTTTTGAGGACTAAACTTAGAGAAGTATGTGTATGTGTGGTGATCAGCTCTATTTATCTGGGCTGGTTTACCTCCTTCCAATATAAACAGAAGTCAGGTCCCCAGATCTCCTTTCTGAAGGAGCATGAATTCTATTTTCCGGGTGTGTAACATAGAGTTGGTTGTGACTAAGAAAAATCTGTGAAGATGTGATCTTGCAATACTCTAACCTCCTAGAAATGATCTCTGAGGTTCCCCCAAAAGGGAAGACTGCAGAAAAACTTGGTGGCTGAGAAGGATGCATGGCACAAAACCACGGCTGCTGTGTTTCTGAACCCTACTCTTCAGGCAAGGATTAAGGCAATCTATGCTCCGCTTTTACGTCCATGGTGAGCTGGCACACTGCCTATCCTTTTCATAGCACACCGGACTGGCCTGTCCTGACCTATATGCAGGGCAGCAGAGATGCATCACAGCCAACTTGAGAGGTGAGGAAACAGTGTCACTTCTCACATAGGCTGAGTACCTAGGTCCTTCAATTTCCAGGTCAGTGCTTTTCCCTCAGGACATAAAAATAGCCAGAAAACGAGGATTAAATGGTTAGCAGACAGCCACCAACCACACCATCCCACTACCAGAGTATATCTTCCTCTCAGTTCCCGTTCAGAAGTGGAGCTAGAGAAGACAAAGTTATTGACAATGGTGGCACATATGGGGCAGCAACCAGCCCACCCTGGGAGCTAGGCACACAAGATAAGGTGGTACAGCAAAGCCCAGGGGCAGCCTGCAATCCTTTATTGCTTGAATGACTCAGTGACAGGAAGAAGGAGCGCCTTGCTTGTGATTCACATGAGAGAGGGTGGACACGCTCTGAGGAAGAGGCACTGAGGCTGGGTGTGGGAGACCTGGCTTGGTACGTGTGGCTTTGCAGCTCCCTCAGGCGCTTGCCCTCTCCCCTCCCTGGGGCTGACTGCCTGTGGGCCCCATGGCCCATGCTAGCAGCTGGAGCAGCTGGTTTAGCAATGGTGGTGGGGGTTAAGAGTTTTAACCACTGGCCAAAGGATTGGCATCAAGTTAGCCCTTCAGGCTGGGTCTTTTGCAGCCTAGTGGCGATGACTCTGTTGAGATGACCTGCTATGTTTCCCCATTCCTGCAGACTGGACTCGCATACAGAGGCTGCCTCCTGGAGCGCAGGCCAAGGCTGGCTCTCACCACAGCTCTCATTCTACCCCTCCCTGCTGCCTACGTACAACTCTGCACTGTGCCTACTCCTGAACGCTGCCCAGGGAGAGAGAGTAATGTAGACAGGGCCCCTTGAAATGCCAACCTTCAATTGCCAGTGTGCTCTCTGCACTGTCCTAGGGGAGTGGTGTCTCTCTTCTAGTCCAGTCTGTGTGTGCCCAATAATCGTGGGTATATGAAAAGCATTTTATAATATGAACAAAAAGAACTGACCTAAATCCCACAGTGAAAGCTGTAATTTTCATTTTTCTGAGGTTTAGCACTAATTCACACATCCTGAGAGACCTTTAAAAATATATTTCTAAACTTATACCATCTTAATGTAACAAATAATTTCTTGACATGCCATTTTAATGACTGCTTTAACAACTTTTTAAAGAATAAAACTGTTAAAAGACCAAAGTTCTTTGTACTTTCTACCACTGAATTTGCAGATAATGTAAAGATTCATAGGTTTGTAAGCAATTTAAAATAAACAACTTTCCTCCTCTGAACGCTGAAACTGTTTTGGATTATCAGTGACTCAGATCACGTTTCCTAGTGCCCTGTGCAAGTTAACCAGGACCAAACTGGAGTCACTTACACCAAGACAACAAGTTGAAGTCAGGAGGCCATGAAGGAAGAGCCCTCCTGCATGAATGCCTACAACAGGATCTGAGCAAGAAATTCTCCAAAGTTGCACTTCTCCAGATAAGGCACTTGCCCAACTTTCCACAGGAGTTGCCTGCACAGGCACACTTGTCTAACAGTGGTGCCTGAGCCAAGGGCAAGGCCTACAACATGATCCTGTACCAAGTGTCTCTGTTTCAAGGTAGCTGGCCTGGACTCCTCCTTTTGTTAATGTTCCCCTGTTCTGAAAGCTTCTCCTTTGCCCCCAGCCCCTGGAGGCCCCGATGGTCCACCAAGCACACATATCCAGGACTGCTAGTCACTACTAGTCCCAAATAAACTCATGGTGTGGGACAGCTGGTCTCCACTTCTTGTTTTAGACTGACACTTTCACCAATGACACACAATTAATCTTACTCTACTGTATATCCATTTCCTATCGGATCCACTTGTACTTGAGTTGAATGTAAATTGAGCTTCACAGAATGAAGAACACAGAATACAATGCTACAATAATCCTGCAAACATCATCCCACTACTGCTACTTGTTCTGTGCTGAGCACTCTTTTTCCATCATGAGGTGTGGAACCCAGTAAGCAGACAGCTCCACCACTTTCACTTATTTTGTACATTTCCCCCCATTTATCTTTATTATTCAATATTCACCTCTAGGATTTCTTTTTCTTTTTTTATAGAAACATCATAAATGAACTCATTTCTTAAGATAATTCTATAGACAATTTTTCAAAGATGAGGACTTCATATATATAAAGTGTGGTAGACGGTCAAATTGCAGCATGAGAATGGTTGGCTCAACTCTTCTGGACCATAGAGCCCACAGAGAGGGCAGTGGGTCTTTCCAGGGACCCTCTGAGAAGGAATTCACAATATACATCCCCAGCAAGCAGCAGACAATGGACAAGTGACACAGAAACAAGTCAGCCTCACATAAGGACCTGTCAAATAAGGTTTTAGTCAAAAACTACTTCTGCAGAGTCAGGAAAAACATTGGTGACATATCCTCAGGATGCACTGTTTGTAAATGCTCCAGGACTCAGTATTTCTAAGGAAACCCCAAGCTGAAGAGACTTACCTAAGAGTTCAGGCACTAATTCCACCTGCAAAGTACAGAGGAGTTAACAAGCTCTCTTATACATCACACACTGCAAAAAGAGCTCAGTCTCTGAAAAATACCTCCAGGTGCTAACTTTCCATGGGCTTTGGACAGTGCTTATGAATGGACCAGTCTTAACTTGCCTGTTAGGAATAAAAGTACCCTTGGAACCACAAACATTTGGAACCTAGGAAGGCAAATGAGAATATTTCACTGTTCTCAGCAGTGTGAAGCCCCATCGAGATCAACAAAGAACTCCTCACTGTTCTGCCACTCTAGGACCAGGAGATAGGGCACAGAAACAGCTGCCAGGGCACACACAATCTGCAGAAGGGCTGATGCTGGCACTCCCGTACTTAACACTGATGGCAGGTAGGCCACTCTACAATTTATACTTAGTAGTATTCCTAGACTCAGTAGTAGTATGCACACAAGAGTGCAGTGCATGTTTGTCAGCAGACAAATATTAAAGGCCACATGCTAAGTGAAGGAGAGGAAGGGATTTCAATCCATGAAGTAATTAAAAGAAAGGAGAGGGGCTGGGGATTTAGCTCAGCGGCAAAAGCGCCTGCCTGGCAAGCGCAAGGTCGGGAGTTCGGTTCCTGGTACCGGAGAAAAACCAAAAAAAATAAAAAAAATAAAAAAAATAAAAGAAAGGAGAACATGCTGCTATGAGCCAGCAAATGAGTATTCCTAGACTTAGTAGTATTCCTAGACTTAGTAGTATTCCTAGACTCCACAAGAATTTCCCTTACAGTTCAGTTTAAATATGGATCCTATTACATATAGAACCATGAGACATCTAGGCTCTTAATTTATATCCAGGCACTTATCAATTATGATATTTAAATGCATAGACAGATGGAGCTATTAATGGAAAAGATATTGTGCCTAAAACACTATTAAGAAAAATGAAAGTCACAGTTAAGCTGTTTAAAAAGCTGCAACAAAACATATAAATTTGAGAAGTTCTTATAAATCAATAAAAAACTATGACTTATCTAATAGAACTGCTAAATCATGAAAGAAGAAACACAAATGGCTCACGAATAGGTAGGAAACAAGTTTGACCTGAATTGTAACAAAAAGGCCAAATGAACAAAAAAGACTGGATGTCATTTTCACCTCTCAAATTGGTTTTTTAAAAGTCAGTAGTATTTAGTTTTATGAAGAACTCAGAGAAATGACATTTTCATCCATTACTGCTAACTCTGATGACCCTTGCAGGGTGAGATTTGGTGGTGCATAACAAAAACCTGAAAGATGTAGATACCTTTTGACCTAATAATTCTATACCTGGGAACTCACTCTGAGGAAATACCACAGATACTTGGAAAAGTGAATTGCACAGTTGAATTGAGAGTGCCTAAACCCACTGGAAACGAGGGAGGGACACACAATGGCAGGGAAGAAAAAACTCTTTGCTACAAGCAGGGAAGAGGAGATTATGTACACAAGAGTGCAGTGCATGTTTCTCAGCAGACAAATATTAAAGGCCACATGCTAAGTGAAGGAGAGGAAGGGATTTCAATCCATGAAGTAATTAAAAGAAAGGAGAACACGCTGCTATGAGCCAGCAAATGAGTATTTAGAAACTAATAAGACAGCTGACCATTAGGGGACAGGCTTCCTGGTGAACAAAACCAGTGTGCTTATGATGGGGGGACAGGCCCGGCCCACTCTGAGTGACATTAGCAGGCTGCTCGCTGTGTCCGAGTTCTGCCGGCTGGAAACAGACAGGACTTGGGAGAAAGGGAATATGAAGCCACTTTTATTTTAATAAAGCACCCAACTAATTTTTTTCACATAAAGTAATTACAAATTTTTCTCAATTAAAAGCATGCGGCTCAATTATATAATTGCATAACAGGTTATGCGGGCGCTGCTGGCTCTCATCTGTCTCAAGGGGACATATTCTGAGTTTCGGCAGCTTTGATGATGTGTTTACCCAAGAGAAGGGGCTGACAGCAGCAGGGCCCACAGGTAAACATCATCTACATGTGGATGTTTAATTAGCCATTTACTTGAGAGACCAAAGTAAATATTTCTGAGCTTCATGAGACTCTGAACCAACGGACTCATAATAGAAATTTCTTAAATTCTGAAAATCACTTACTTTTAAGAGTTTATCTAAAAAGAGATATTTAACCTGCACTCTTTACTAAAAATCAGTATCTTTTCAAAACACAGAAACAACTCAAAGATACTTTATTTTGCTCATCATACAAGGACGATGTGGGCTGGGGCTGCTTGCTTTGCAGCTGAGCTTGTGCTTAGCATGTGCGAGACCCTGGGTTCACGCATGCATGTACACACACACACACACACACACACACACACACACACGATGGTGGTTTTAGAACCCACAAAAGCATTTGATCCCAAGGTGCACATGGCTGGCCCTACCTCTCTCAGTTTGGTAACACTGTGTTTTGTGCCTGGGTTTTCCTCAGCCTCGCCTAAATGGGTGAGAAAGCACATTTGCTTCCATTCTGAAGTATAGATTTTGCCACCAGTATTGGTAATTTTTACTACTGTCACTCTACTGGGGGAGGCAGCACATCATTTGGCTCATTAGTTATTCACTGGGCAGCTTTCCTCCTGACTAAAAATAGAGGTATTTGAGAAATACCTCTAATTTGAGAAACTGTGACTAGGCTGGTCGTTTAGAACTTGGAACATGTTCTCTAAGTTATAAATACCCTAAAGGAAGAAAAAGATGACCAGAGAGCAACTGACAGTCAACTAACACTTACTCCCTCCTTCACAATGCTGAGACATGGTGCACTCAGAATGAATGAGAATAGAAAAGAATGTTGCAAAAGAGTGTTAAAGAAAATGGACAATAAAACCTGAAACAGTCTCCTTAGGATCTGTATTAGTCCACAAACATGCAACAGATCTAAAAAAAACCAGAAATTCTTTCTTCCTAAAGCACATTATTTGAAAATGGCCCCATATCTTAAGAAAACAAAAAGATGGGCTATTTATTGAGTCACATACAATGTGACAAAATGAAAATGCTTGGGAGAACGACACAAGCCTGCCTGAAGAGGGGTGGGATCATGGGAGGCAGGGGAATGGCATCTGTGTCTTCAATGGTTCATTTCCTCTACTCTGCACACCCTTTCTCCCAGGGCCAGCGAGCACTAAGACAAAAACTCTCAGTGGGGGCTGCTGACCGCTCTCCTGTGCCTTCCTTGGGAATCTGCCCCACTGTTTCCTTTCCTGTTTAGCACATTCAAACTCTCCTCCTGCACCAGCTCGAGTCAGAGTGTCCCTTCCCCTTGCCGGATCCATGGCAGGGCTGGCTCCTCCTAACCAGAGATGGCACTCCCTAAGGACTGCAGCACTCAAGTCCAGCAGCTTTCCAAAACCTACCAGACTAAACAGTGTCCCCAGCCCAGGGCCAGCAGGATCCCCAGCAGGGCCCAAGACTGCCTTGGGCTCTTTCCCACCAACAGGACTACAGCCTGCCCTGCTGCCTCCAGCACAGCTCTGTTGCCTTGATATGCACTGTGATTCCCAGCCTGCTCTCTGGCTCTTAACTGCCCATCCTTGTTGCCCCAGGGCCCCCAACTCTTACTCTGTCAAATGTCTGTGTCTCTGTGCTCCCTCCACCCTAATGCCTGCCTCACTGCTTCTCAGGTGGCCTGGGCCCCTTTTCTGCAGGACTCACGCTCTTTGGTGCTCCTTCATTCCAAGCACCTGCTGTGCCATCCCTAGGAAGAAGGGACCACATCCACACTTATTGCTGATTGGTTCTGGGAGGCAGGATAAGTACAAAAATGATGAGTAAAAAATAAATTGTTTTGGCTGGAATGGGGAGGAAGTCCTGAGGCAATCGACATCCACAAGTTCTAACTTGTGCATCAAGTACCAAGCAAAGGACAAGTACCACGACAAAACTGTCACATCGAAATACATCAAGGACAAATTAATGAGTATTAAAGAAGCTGAGTACCAGGGTATAACTGAATTTCTTTCCTTTAAATGGCTCTGGGCTGGTATCTGTGTAGGGTGATGGATGTATATATATTTGCTGAAATAACGTGAAGGACCTTACAGTATTTTGTGGTACTGTTTAGAGTATACAGAAAACCGTATGTTTCCAAGTTCCCCAGAAAATGCTTGGTAGGTACATTCAATCAGGTCACCGCTGGGATCTGAATTAACATTGTCAGGATTTCCACACAAAAAATTAGGCAAAAGGCCTAAGATCAGAAAGTTAAACCAATCCCAAAGCCTTACTTATTACTTCCCTTATCACTTTCTCAAATACGTTAATCATTTTTGAGAATATGTTATTCCTCAACTGGATAACATATAATCTTGAAATTTATTCTTTTAAAAATAAATATTTCTGACCTTTGACCCCTTGTCCACGTTTTGAACTGAGAATAGAGAGCTGAGCCACCTACCTCTTTGTGGAGAGACTGGCTAAGTTTCTTCAGGCTGGCGGCAGGCTGGACAGACGGTGCACTGTGGAAGCTCAGGTCTGGCGCCTGTTCAGATCTGTGAGACACGAACAGGAGATGTGTCACATGTTTACAGTACTGGGTGACTTACAACAGTCCCACATTTCTAAAGGACTTACAGCCTAATTGGAAGAAGAAAGCTTACCCAGAGAAGTCTGCAACCTAACATATCCTGGACTAAAGAAAATTTGAGCCCAAATATCATTTTTTAAGCTTTTAAATATTTTTTGGTAATAATTTCCTTACTGGATGGGCATTTTCCACTTTGGCTGCACACAGAACCCCCTGGGGAGCTTTGTGACGCCTGGGTGCCTAACCCTCAATGAGCGGCTCATGGGAGGGCAGCCCGGAACTGGTGTGTTTTCAAGAAGCACAGTGAATCTCAAGTGCAGCGGGGTACCTGGGAAGCATAGTACACATGGTCAGCCCCCTAAACTTAAGAAAAAAAATCACATCTTCATCTGAAACACACGATTTTTATTACCCCTTTACAATAACCTACTTACAATTTTAAAAAATTAAAATAATATAGGAAAGAGTTGAAAAGTAAGTTTGGATTGCTATTCAGACTTTGATATTTATTATACTTAGAGGAAAAATTTCCTGGTTGCAGGAAATATATAAGATGAGCCTGGAACATTCACTGAACCTGAAAAGAAGGAAGGGCTCCAGAATTACTGAGTCCTCTCAAATGGACCTGGGGGCTATCATAAAAGGAATTCTAACTACAGATGGGGCAATCTGAGCAGCAAAATAACGACAATAACAATGATAACTGCAAGGGACTAAAACACAACTCATTTATAAAAATCTACAAGTTTGAGTTCATTTAAAATGAATAATAAATAAAACTTAAAAAATAAAAACTTGCATACAGCCTTAAAAAGGAAAAAAACCTTGTTACACATTATAACATGGATGAATCTTGATGACATTATGCTATGTGAAGTAGCCAAAGACAAAAGAAGAAGATACCATACGAAGACCCCAGAGTAGGAAGTTTATGGAGACAGAAAAGGGAAGTGGGGCTGGGGAGAGAAAAATAGGAAGATGCTTAATGGGCAGAATTTCAGTTTCCTAAGATGATTTTACTGATTTGCTGAACAACAAAGTGAATATACTTAACATTACTGAACTGCACAGCTAATAATGGTTAGGATGGTGGTGGCTGAGGTAGGATAGCAAGTTCGAGTCCAGTCTGTGCAACTTAGCTTCTTAGTGAGTCCCGCCTCAAAATAAGAAATAAAAAGGGACTGTGGATGTAGCTCAGTGCAGACTTGGATTGAATCCCCAGTACCAACACATGTATACACACATACACAAAACAACAACGAAAAAGGTTAAATAGTACATTTTGTTATGTGTTTATCACAAAAACAAAATAATTTAAAACAAACTTTTGGACACTACTAAGGCAAAACTTTTGGAAGCTGTTTCGGTAAAAACTTGTTATTCTGAAAAATGGTCTGCCAAGGGATTAAATCGAGCATTTGTACTAACTGTAGTTCAAAAAAATACCCCTGTACTGCAGAGTTATAAATAGCTGATGAGTAAAAGTTCCTCCAAGAAGTGTAGAAGAATAGTCAAGCTGAGAAAGCCAGATTAATGAACAGGTCTAGGAAATGTTTCCATTTGTGAAAAGTAGATAAGAGAATACCTTACGCAGGAGGTGCCTGACTCTAAGGCATGACCTACAGGCAGTCTTGGTATCACCAACCTCAGGTTGATCATATTCCATATGCTGTTTGAGCAGATGCCAGTGGACATCAGCACCACTGTGACATTCTACTGCCAAAAACCTAGCCTGGAACAGTACCACACATCTGGATCTAACCAGCAGGCTATAGTACCAAATGGGAGAGAAGAACTGGTCAAACAATGCCACGTGGCTACAATTCAGCAGAGAATGCTCCAGGAAGGTGCTCCAACTTCTTCAAACCGAAGAAATGGAGCATAGTAATGCCGTAAAACAGAGATTTTAGGAGACCCACTGACTAACTATATTATGTGGACCTTATTTGGATCCTGATTCAAACAAAAAAAATGTAAAAGGACATGAATTAGGTGTTAGATAAACTAATTAATATCTAATTAGATAAAAATATCTAAAGAATTCTGTAAAAAGGCATTATATTAAAACTTTATATATTGGAGATACAAGTACTTGTAAGCAAAATGGTATGGTGACTGATTTAAACCACCCAAGGAAAGTGTACAGGTTGAAACAGGGTTTCAAACATTTAAAAATCTTCAAAATATGAAAGAACTTGAAAGTAAAAAGTTGAAAAAAATGCATTAATGTCTGCCACTTTGACACCTAGAATGAGAGATGGAGGAAGGACAGACAGACACACATATAGGAGGGGAGTAAAACACCCATGGGGGAATCTTCTGGGCAGTAGATATTCATGGTATGGTTCCTTTTGATTGTCTTAGTCTTTCACATTTTTTGAAATAAAATGTTTGGAACGGCTAGAGATGTAGCTCCGTGGTAGAGAACTTGCCTAGCATATGGATCCCCGGGAATAAGAAAAAAAAAAGCAAAAAACATTAAATGCTCAGGGAAAAAAGTAAGCCTAGGTGCAATTCAGAATCTTCTTCAATAAATCTTAATTTCTGTAATATTTGCCTGACCCAATCCTAGTTTTTCCCAAGATCTGAATAAAGTGGGTATGTCACTGGAGTTCCTGACCTTATTCAAAAGCTTCCAAGAACGATTCTAAGGCTTCTGACTCCTTTGATAAAAAGCCCTGTAACAACTTGCCTTTCCTGTTTCCTACCATTCTACAGTGATGTCAACACCAATGCCTGGGTCCTCTGTTCTGACTCTGCATCCACTACTCAGGTCTCACTAGATCTCCCTAGGGAAAAAGCCCCAGCTGCTTGCCAGTAAATTCTAGTCAGTTCAGTGGGTTTATTTCTTTAGTAGGTAAATCAATTGTGTTTCTAGCTGGGAAGCCAGATTAGTAGAGATTAAATGATTAAAATTAGTTAGGTGAATGAACTGATGAGAGAACAGTCTCTGGTGACGAATACAATCGATGTGCTGAAGAGACAGAGCCAAGGTGGGACTCTCATTATTATTACTCCAGCCAATAGCAACGGCCCTTTGGGTCCTGGCCTGAGAGAACTAGTTTAGGTTTTCTCTAATTACTGTGTCTATTTCCCACAAAAGAGCAAACTTGATAGCCAAGAGGTAAAGAAGGCACCGCATTTAGGATTTGTGAGGGCTGTGCAGCTAAGCCCATGCCACACTGGACAGAGCTCAGCTTCCCAGGCAGGAATGTCCTGGAACGGGGTCTCACCCGCGGCTCTGGAAACGCAACAAATCAGAAAATCAGCAAAGGGGTAAAAGATTTAAAGGAGCTTTTTTCTCTTGTTGATTTTACCATTGGAAAAACCTATAACATCAATATCACAGAAAAAACAAAGTTGGTGTCAGGTAATTTATATACTCGTGTAATTTAATATATAAAGTACTTTTAAGTCATAATTAATTTTATACACCTGAAATGGTTTCTACCAGAAACTACAACTTAAATGTATTAGCATTTACTAACTACAGCTGATTTACCACAGACTGATAATTTGATCAATGTTTTAAATCAAAGTAATAAATGTCCTGAATATAGGCAGAATAAAGTAAAGTTTTTACATACTGTATTTTGAACAATATAAAGCTAATTCAATTTTTCTGCATGAGTATAAGAGCATAATTATTTCTGAAAATCGCCACCAATAGAGATAATTAGTTGCACCTGGAAAAAATGTAACAAATGATAAGTAGTTTTATTATGTTTTTCATATATGATAAAACTACTTAATGTTAAATGTTTTCCTGAAAGCAATAATGAACAAAACTTTTTAATCAACTACCTAAATGACATGAGTCATATTTTAATAACTCATCATTGTCTAAAACAATAAGTCTCCCACCTAATAATAGCATGCTCTTCCTACGAAGGTCTCAGAACACTTAATCCTCGGTGTAACATAAATCAATACTGCTGTCAGCAGTGGGTTTCTCCTTTTTTCTCTGAAGATGCTCCATTTTGTGAACAAGAGTGGAGAAGTGCTCGGATTATTTTCTAGGCGAGCACAGACTGGGGCAGACATCCGACTGCACAGCTAAGGTGAGCAGACAGCTGTGGCTGCCAGGGTTGCCTCAGGAGTGGACAGGGGGCTGCAGTACCACACATGCCCCTATGCCACAGGCTCACTTGCTCCAGTCTCCCCACATGGCTGGGCTCAGGATTCTATGTCATCAGAGTTATTAACTACTGAAGAAAAAAGGAGGCCATTGTCTCCAAGCCAGTGTTTCTAGAATGGTTTATCAAGTTGCCAGTGGAGCTCTTGGGTTCAGGAAGGCCAAACAGCATAGAGGACTATTTCCCTTGGGACAGTTCCCAGCAAGAACTCCAATGCTGAGAGGTGTAGCAGCTCCTGGTGCAAGCGGGGAGGGCACTGGTGATTAAACTCCATTCAGAGAATTCATATCTCAAAACCTGAGTGCTTTCTCCCGGAGACCACAAACATTTGACACTTCTTCCAGGGCAGAAAGTGAACCAGTGGCAAACAGTGTGCTTATACACAACAGCATCTCTGGTGACTACACACAAAGCAATTCTCATCATAACAGAGCATAGCGCAGATTAGATGTCACTCCTGACTTCTCTATCTGACTTCTTTTTAGGTTTAAAAAACAACTGTGGTAAAGAAATGGTATTAAAGACCTAGATTACTAATTTTAAAATTTTCATTGGTCATAGCAAAGGATCATTTCTAATGGAAGGCTGATTTGTTCATAACTGTAGGTCAACAGCATGTAAAATGCTACCTTCCATGACAGAAATCAATGCTTGGTTATGAACGGTGAGAGACTCCAACGACTGTTAGTGAAGCAAGTGCAGACATCACATCTTATCACCCACAGTCTCGGTTGGGCAGCCTGGGCTAAGAGTTGCACGAACAATTATCCAGTACAACAAATGAGTTTACGCCTAGAATTCCAAGTGTATTTATGCTTTTGAGCACATA